GCCCAGCTGGTGTCTACTGCCTCATCCTCCACGTTCCCCAGCCTCCACAGCTTCTGGATTAGGGTGCCAGGGAGTGTCAAGGGCAGCTGCTCCCTATGGGAAGGAGACCCAGGAGCTGCAAGGACAGTGAGGCTGACAGGGCACTGGGAATCCTGCCACTGAGCTGTCCCATCACTGAGGTGGGTGATGGGAGTTAAATACAACACCCCTTTTCTCTACAGTCCTCCCTAGGAAAGCAGACAAAACTGAGCATTCAGAATGATGAGTAACGTGTCTGTGTGCAGCGTGCACTTCATTCTCTGGATCACAAGAATCTTTTTACTTGGATGCACTTAGCTACCTCTCTCTGCCTTAGGCTTTAGGGCTTCTAAAGGCAGATAAAGTCCTGCCCTGGCAGAATCTTTCCTTCTGCCCACTGGAACCCTAGAAGTCATCTATGCTTGATACTTCAGAAGAAATTTTATTACTGCATGTGGTCCCTGCACTGGTGAATTCCTATGTATGACCTGGGGCTATAGAGAATACCTGGTCAAGCCTTCTATTCAGTTTGATCAAAAGAGTCCTGACACAACAAAGCATTTAGCTGAATGAGCATTTCACTATGAATAGCACAAATATTTGGATTCAAGTGTACGTCAGCAGCAATCAGTGGAAATCTTAATAATGAAGGCCTGTGGGAACTAAATGGAGATGAAAAGAAGAGGAAAAGATTCTTTGCAGGGATAAGTCAGGACATAAAGACATGCCTGCTCTATGTAAGCAGGGCAGCTGTGTTCTGCACAGAGCCAGAAATGTGCAGAAACTGTAGTATTCTGCCTAGCCCCTGCAGACCAACAATAAGGTGGTTATGGTGAAAGCAGATTGTAAATTTGCACCTACTGATAAAAGAATATAATATAACCTACCCAGAACTGGTGGGCTGAGTGATTGCAGTAGAAGAAAGCTAGTGATTAATGCAGTGCTTTGGTCTGTGGTTTATGTATTTACATGTGAAATAACACATGGGGGCTAACAGAGGCAGCAAGTGATAGAGCTGGAAACGCACCAAACAGCTGTTATCCCAAAGGAGAGCAACAGCTGTGACCTTAGAGGAAACTAGATAGCTATAGGGTGATGGTCCCTGTTTTAAAAAGACTCAGCGCATATTGCTTTGAAGAACGTCATTGGGGAGCCAGAGCAACACCTATAAAGGAAAGAAAATGAGCAGAGAAAATCTACATGATTAAGCTGTCACAGGGCTTATCACACTGAGATAAAAAGGTCTTCTTTCAAGAACCAAATGCCTTAAAGAAACAGAGAGGAAACAGTACCAGAAAATATATTAGCTCTAAGGTAGAAAAGGTAAATATATATGAAAAAAAAGACTATGTACATAAGACACCTTTCCCTCACACACACATAAGTTATGATTCAGTGATGGAAGAAGGCACATTTTTAACAAATCGCCTGCATAGAGGTACCTCTCATTTAGGATGCTATTAGACAGGTGTCTGTTGGGGGATTTATCTGTTTGTTGTACTCTTCTTTATTATATTGTTATTTTAAACGCTGAGAGACGTTGAAAATAGCAAGATGCAAAATCTAACTAATTTGCGGCATTTGGAGCCACAAGAGGTGTATCCAGCACTTAAATGTGAAGGTATCCCTAGTGTCCAAGAGCAACGCATTAAACTGAAACAGTCAGCTATCCCTACTGCCTGCACAACAGGGTAACAGGCCGGGGCAGGGGCAACACCAAAACCAGTGGGTGTTACAACAAAGACTGCTCAGTACCTGCAAATGCTTCTCCACACATTTAGAAACTTAACTGTGTTCACACGTTTGTTCCTTAAGGACCAGGCCTTCATTTTTGACTCAGTCAGAATGTAAGCAATATTGACATCTTGAGCAAACACCCCCAAGAATACCTTTAAGTGGCTTAACTAGCACAAAAACCTGAGACTTCCTATATAGCCTCTTCTCCGCTCCCCATTCAGCCTGGAAATATCTCACTAAGTTGCCAGTTGCCTGCTTTCACCAGCACAGCACTGGGCAAAATGTCTGTGGGCAAAATGGTGATCCCAATGAGGTCAATGACTTCAGTGGTCTAGGAACTTCTGCCCAGCAGCTCATACAAATCTTCTCTTTCCTGAGTAATCCCTTCGGTAGCCTGACAGCCCTTCCTACATCAGATTATGGCATGGGGTGCAAAGGGCAAACCTTCTGGAGAGAGTCATAAACAGCTAGGTTAATTCCCTGGTGTCAGATGTTGAGGAGTTGCCAAATCTGGCAGAGACGAGGCTGCTGCAGCCCCACGCCCCCAGGTCCCACCAGCTGCGAGGCCGAGCATGTGTCCCCAGTAGGCACACACACAAACACACACATACAACGCACACATAGACACGTGGCCAGGCACACAGACCAGCACAGACAGACACACTCAGCACTCACACAAACACCACCAACGGCCTCGTCCTGTTCCCCTCTGGCCAATCAGGACCAAGGCTCGTTAGTGGGAAATACTCATACGTGCAATGTGGATCCCCCAGTGGCTGGCCTCAGACGTTCTCCCCGTCCAGTAGCTGCCCTGGATCCCTGGTCTCCCCAGCTGCTGGCACATGGACTTATGTACTCAAAACCTCTTGCATACACACATACACACTGTGGATCCCTCCAGCAACTGGGCATAGACATGCAGTCCCTCTAGCAGCTGGTCCTAGGTCCTCGCTCTCCCCAGTTGCCTCCTGCAGAGGCACACAGATACAGACAGGTCTCTCAGTTGACCCCCCAAAGCTTATGGTCTCTCCAGCAGTTGGCCTGGACCTCCTGGTCCCTCCGGTCGCCAACTCGTCCTGGTGTCTCGCCCTCAGACACACAAACACACACACACACACACGTCTGGTTTCCAAGCCACTTGACCTCTTTGCCAGTTAGTCCAGCTTGATATTTGCCAGCAACCACGCACTGACTTACGCACCCTCGCTTGCTCCAGTTGCTGGCACCTGCTGACAGAGGCCCCTGTGACCCATGGGCCCACTCCAGTTCTTGGTGCTCAGACCTCCGTACACACACACAGACACAAGAATAGAGAACCCCTCACCCAAGAAAACAGTCAGAAATGGAGTTTACTGAGAAGACAGGACAGAACGATCAAGCGCAGGGCATGGCCAGACAAGCGTACCGACCAGCAGCCTGTTTGCAGGCAACCAGCCCCTTTTATCTCCTCCTCCTTCTCTTTTCCCACGCTTGTGCCTCCCCAAACCGCCGCGATCCCTCCCTTTCCCCTTTCCTTTGGTTCTGCCCTCAACATCCCACAGCAAGGCTCGCGCGGTCCCCAAACGCTCGTCCCCTGCGTCCCGTAACGCGCCCCACACCCTCGGCCGTCATCCCCTCAGCGTGTGAGGTGGTCCGGAGGCCTCTCCCGGGACTCCTCGCGGGGGTGTCCCCCGGCCCGTGGGGCTGCTGGTCTCCTGGGACAGCCCGGGGGGCCGGGGCTGCGGTTCATTTCTCTGACCAGCTCGTTGGGGCTCCCCTGCCTGGCACTGTGCTGCCCCGCACCTCCATGTGTGTGGAGCCTTTTATGGGTTGATCTCTCTCCTGTGATAGCTCTGCGATAGGTATTATTCCAGTTCCCTCACCTGCAATTGTTCCTGTGCACTCCTTGCTCCTTTGTGTGAGTGAAGATAAGCTTTTTATAATATAATCTAACACAGAACCACACTTCAAGCTTTGGAAAAATGCTCTAAAATTAGAATTGCACAATGACTTTGGTAGCTTGATTTGTCTCCAGGATAATCCCGAGGGCCAGCAACTTGAAGAAAAGCAGCTTGACCCATTCTGTTGATTTCAGTGATGTTGTTTTAAGGAAGCATGTAAATACAGAAGGGGCCTGGGATGGGTAGCAAACAAAAAAGGAAAGAGCAAGGAAGGTTTGAGAGAGAGGAAAAAGTAAGTGCCGAGAGTGACTGAAGTTGCTAAGGGCTGAGAGATCTGGGGGTTAAGCATGTGCATATGAGAGTCTGAGCGGGGATAATGCACAACAACAGTAACATACAGTGACTGATTTGCTTTCCAGTCTGGACTGATGCATGTGCCCTCGTTCTTGCAAGCGCAGACACTCTGGAGCTGTGCAGAGGCAAGCAGGTAGGCGCACAAGCAGCTTTTGGGCATGGGGTGCCTGGACTGAGCAGGTGCATGCCGGGGTGGGGGGAGCCCTGTGTGACAGGCAGGTGGGGAGTGAGCGGGGCTGGAGCAGGGTGAGGGCTGTTCTGGGACGTCTCGTCTTGGGCAAACACGGGCAGAGCGCATAGAGAGGAGAGCAGGAAGGAATACGGGGCACAAGCTCTTCATCCCCAGCAAGGTCACTGAGAACTGCTCCTCCTCAAGGGTTCCCCATGGGAACCAGCACCCCACCGGGACAGGACCACCCTGACCCCCCTGCCTGCAAACCCTTCCATCCGTGGCCATGCAGGTGCCCCCTAAACCAGCCCTCCCCAAAGCCCCTAGCCCCATAAGCCTGCTCAAACAGCATCACCGACCTCTAAAGCCCCCAGACCTCACAACCATGCCAAAACCCAGCCTCAGCAGCCCCCAGTCACCCCCAGCTCCTGCCCCCGCAGCACCACACCACTCTCCTCCCAAGAACTCCCACGGACCCCAAACACCCCAAGCCTTTCCCCGAAGCTCGCATCGGCCCCCCAGGCACCCACCAACCCTGGCCCCCAAGGGTGCCCCAAAACCTGTCCCAGGAGGCGGAGGTGTGGGGCGAAGGGTGGGGAGGGGGCTTGGGCGCGGTCTGCCGGCAGCGCGGGTCTGAACGTCCCTTTCCCCTGTGTCGCCCCCCGGGCCCCGGTTCCTCCCCCGCAC